CACACACACACACACACACACACACACACACACACACACACACACACCATGAAAAAATTGGTGTTGCCATACCAACTCTAACAAGACTAATCAATTAAGGTGGGCTATTATCAGCAGGAGAAAAAAAAACTTCTATAGTGATAATCAAGATAGCCCATGTCAAACAGTTGATAAGAAGGTGTGAGTAACAGTAGGGGGGAAATTAGCATGGGAAATAGTTTTTACTTTGTGTAATGACCCATCCACTCCCAGTCTTTATTCAAGCCTAATTTAATGGTGTCCAGTTTGCAAATTAATTCCAGTTCTGCAGTTTCTCGTTGGAGTCTGTTTTTGAAGGTTTTTTTCAGGTTTGGAATTGAATGACCAGGGAGCTTGAAGTGTTCTCCGACTGGTTTTTGAATGTTATGATTCCTGATGTCTGATTTGTGTCCATTTATTCTTTTGCGTAGAGACTGTCCGGTCTGGCCAACGTACATGGCAGAGGGGCATTGCTGGCACATGGTGACATATATCACATTGGTAGATGTGCAGGTGATTGAGCCTCATAGTGTGGCTGATGTGATTAGGTCCTATGATGATGTCCCTTGAATAGATGTGGACAGAATTGGCGATGGGCTTTTTGTAAGCGAGGACTGGCCTGTCTCCCAAGTTCTGTGAGAGTGAGGGATCGTCCTTCAGGATAGGTTGTAGCTCCTTGATGATGCGCTGGAGAGGTTTTAGTTGGGGGCTGAAGGTGACGGCTAGTGGCATTCTGTTACTTTCTTTGTTGGGCCTGTCCTGAAGTAGGTGACTTCTGGGTATTCTTCCGGCTCTGTCAATCTGTTTCTTCACTTCACCAGGTGGGTATTGTAGATTTAAGAACGCTTGATAGAGATCGTGTAGGTGTTTGTCTCTGTCTGAGGGATTGGAGCACATGCAGTTGTATCTTACAGCTTGGCTGTAGACAACGGATCGTGTGATGTGGTCTGGATGAAAGCTGGAGGCATGTAGGTAAGTATAGCGGTCAGTAGGTTTCCGGTATAGGGTGGTGTTTATGTGACCATCGCTTATTAGCACTGTAGTGTCCAGGAAGTGGATCTCTTGTGTGGACTGGTCCAGGCTGAGGTTGACGGTGGGATGGAAATTGTTGAAATCATGGTGGAATTCCTCAAGGGCTTCTTTTCCATGGGTCCAGATGATGAAGATGTCATCAATGTAGCGCAAGTAGATTAGGGGCATTAGAACAACGCTTCCTCAGCTCTCGTCCCCTAAGTCAGCCATAAAAATGTTGGCATACTGTGGGGCCATGCGGATACCCATAGCAGTACCGCTGACTTGAAGGTATACATTGTCCCCAAATGTGAAATAGTTGTGGGTGAGGACAAAGTCACAAAGTTCAGCCACCAGGTTTGCCGTGACATTATCGGGGATACTGTTCCTGATGGCTTGTAGTCCATCTTTGAGTGGAATGCTGGTGTAGAGGGCTTCTACATCCACAGTGGCCAGGACGGTGTTTTCTCCTCTCTTGCCTGCCATTTTTTTTTTAATCTTTACAAAACACACACACACACACACACACACACACAGTGGTGACATCCTTTTGAACCATACAAGCAATCAGGCAAATACCCTAGAGTGGTCTGCCTACTTGTTCAGGAGGCTTATCAGTGTAAAAGTATGTCCTGTATCCTTATGTTTGGATATCATGGGTGAAATCCTGTCCCAAAGAAGTCAGTGACAAAACTCCCATTGACTTCTGTGGGCCAAGCTTGCAACCTTCATGTACAAGGACATTTGTTTACCAACCCACTATCTAACTCATATTAGTAAAACATACATCTAAATTACATCTAGTTATACTGTGATGAATATGCATTCAAATGAAAACAGATAGCCACACAATCAGATGTCACTCTCTTCCATTCCACCTGCTTTTTAAGAAAAAGCAGACAGCCCTCCCTCCCCCAAAGTGATCAAAACTCATTTCCATGGTTTTTGTTAACACATTTGGTTTACTATTTTTGGTACCATTTTCTCTAGAAGTTCTCCTCCTCAATAATATCTGCAAACATTCCCACACTCAAGATGCTGTTCAAGAGGTTTGTTTTTGTCCAAGTTAAGTTAAAATCCCTTTTGGGTAGGCACCATCCCTTTTTCGGTATTTTGTGAGGCACTTAGTACAACTAAGGCACTAGATATAAAGCAGCAGTATCATTCATACAACTGTAAAACCTTTTATTTTTAGAGTACACTTTTAAAGGCACCCTAAAATGAAGTCTGTTAAACTGGTTCTGGACAGCAATTAAAAATAACGTCCACACAAGGTTTCTCTTAAAGCTTTGATGAGGAGCATATTATCGTTCAAATAAGATTATGCAATTTTGGCAAAGCAGAAGTGCTTGACTTTGGGGATTTTTCTCTGTGTGTGTATTCAGGATGTATCATTACTATCTTGGTAAAGAAACACTACACAGCAAGTCCAGAAGATCTCTATTAATATTTCTGAAGCAAGTCTTCTGCATAGCAAGCATTCAACAAAATTGTACATTTCCATATAGTCACTGGTACTTACTGATATGGTCAATAGATCCTCCGCAGAATTTTCCATAAAATTTTTTCGCCCCCAAGCCCCGGAGGTCATGGATTGTAAAAGGCCAGAGATGCAGCACATTGTTTCTTGAGAAAGTGTCCCGCTTCTCCACAACTACAACCTTGGCTCCCAGAAAGGCAAGTTCTATGGCAGTCCGCAAACCACATGGACCACCTCCAATAATCAAACACTGAGGGAGGAAAGAAGAAGTTTGTTCATGCAAATGGAAGTCAATATAAAATTGCCAAGTCACCTAAAGGGTGTAAACTGTCAACTGAAGTAATGCTACTGTATCAAGAGCTGATCATATACCTCCAGAAATATTCAAGTATACTATTGACAAAATGAAGCAGTCACATTCATCAAATATTTTACTTAATGGAGGGTGTTCAACTATTTATAGAATTTGGCAAATGCCTCATATACAGACATCAAAGTAAGTACCCATTGAAAAACTGATGGAAAAAATATGGTAAAAATTAGTCAAAATGCTTTCATCCAGCTCTAAGTAGATGTAAATAAATGTTAAGGATATAACAGTTATTTCAAAATTACTTGCAGCAGACAACAGGAGAGACTTGGAAATGAAGAATAAATGGTCTCAAAGCAGATTTTTTTTTTTTAAAATAGACACATCAATGCGCTATTGCAATCTTCAGATTAGACCAGAGTCCATTGGTTAAAAGTAATCCCCAAATATTCCTACACTAGTTTAGCGTAAAACTATCTCCACAATGCAAGTTACTTAGTGTTCTGAATACAACGGATGAGATCATCAGCTGACGTAAATCAACATACCTCCAGTGATGTCATTAGACCTACCCTGATTTATAGTACTTGTGAACTGGGCCTGTTCTACTTTGTTTTAACACTGACCAACATATTCAAAAATGGGATCTTAAAATTAGGCTCTTATGTCCACATTTAGGCACCTAAGGGTGGGATTTTCAAAGTGCCTATGCACGAATCTCACCTATATATGTATGGATTTCAGTTTTGGCCTGCAGCTTTAAGTTTCTACAAGCCAGAAAGCTGTGATTTCTGGAAAACTGCACGTGCATCAGATGCTTACATTTTCTGACTTGGTTACCAGAAATTGTTTGATTAGAAACAGCCCTTCTTGATAATATATATATCACCTCAAATTATTAGAGAAGCAAATCAGTTCAGGTAACAAATGAAGCCTGCTGACCGCTGAGGTGTGCGTGACCTAATTCAGAGAGTTCTGACTATGAGGTAGATGTTGATCAATGCTAGAAGTACAACTGCATTATCTCACAATCAAAACATGCTCCTTTGGTTCTCTCACACATAGCCAGACAGTGATTACAGTTTCAAAAGCAAGGACTTTAAACCTAGTTGAATGTGTTTACAGTAAGTCTGGTTCTAATTACATTTCTTTTTCATAACAGTAGGGTTATTTATTTATTTTGGTCTGCCCATTTATTTTACTGTTTTACATCTCAGATTAAAATTATTTGGCACAGGCTTTAATGTAAACCAATGATGAGAAGAGCTACAGTTATCTTTTTTAAAAGTAAAATATTCTAAAAATTCAAGAATAGTGGAATTTCCACAGAATGAACAGGTACTGTAGACTTAAAAAAAAAAAATGCTACAGATATTAAAGTATCATTAATTAAAGCTAACCTGTTCCATCAGCCATTTCCCAAGCTTGCTTACTCCTAAAATACATTTTTAGCTTGTACTTTCAGAGTAACATACCGCACTGTATGCTAAATACTAAGAAAACATCAATGGATCTAATTATATAAAGGAAGAAAATCCAGCACAGATGTTGCCAGGATCAGAGTGGGATTATTGGCAGAGGCTGGGTCAGTTCCTCTCTGCACATACTTGTTATGATTAACATGGGAACTCTGAGTTCTGACAAGTAAGTGAATGCATTTACAGCTATGCAGTTTTCCAGTAATGTTGAGCAAGCAGCTAGCAGCACTTTGCAAATACAGACCATAAATGGATTGATCAGAATTTTTCTGGCGGACAAGAAATATTATATATATAAATACATGCAATTTTTTTTAAAGTAGTCTTTTGAGATTTAGTCATAGTAGCTCTTGCCAACTAATAAAACCCCAGACACTGACATTTCCTCACAGAGCGGTAGGAATGAATGTATTCAAATTTTAGAGAGATAGAGAATTTCCCCCTCTCCCCCCACAAGATATCTTCCAACTTGCTTGGGGGCACTGTGAAAAGTAATTGTATTTTTGCCACCATCCATGGTTACCATCTATAAACATAGATATCTGCATGTCTTAGAGTTATTTGCTCTTTGGCTTATCAGGAGAGCTTTTCCAGTGATGTACAGCTCACTCCTCCTGACAATTTATCATCCATTTTGGAAACTTCTGGAGCCAAGAACAGCAAGAATCTATTGCAAAGATATTTTTTTTACAGTGTTGAGGCTTCTACCTTTATTAAGTAGTGAAAGAGACAACACATGGAAAAAACAAGCTCTCTGTTTGTATGCAAAAACGGAAACAGTACTTCAAACGTTCTAGCAAAACCTGTGAAACCTTTAGCTCTATATTTTTTCCGCTAATAAACCAGTCTTTTGGCTCATTATTGGCCATATTCAGAATGTAATGAATTTATCGCTGCTTTCATACAGTCAGGTGAAGCCATTTCTTCCATGGTGAGTAACTACTGCCGTACAAACAAGTCTGGTGAAACTGACCTCTGAGCTGTAGCGACTAGCATTGTGGAAATCAAGGGAGTCTTGACACATAGATGCTACTCACGGCTGAAAGGCTTTGTTCTGCTCCCATTCAAGCCAATGGAAAAAACTCCCTTTACTTTTATGATCCAGGATCACTTTGCTCTTCGAAAGCCCTCTATCAGCTGAGGAAAACCACAGTAATTGAAGATAACTTTGGAGAAGAATTATAGAATCGTAGAACTGGAAGGGACCTCCAGAAGCATCTAGTCCAGTCTCCTGCGCTCATGGCAGGACTAAGGCTATGCCTATACTACACAGCTTTAGCGACATGGCTGTATCGCTACAGCCGTGCCACTAAAAGTCGTGCAGCGTAGCCACTGTCTGTCGGATCTCCTGCCAAAAAAAAAAAAAAAAAAACCAAAACAAAACAAAAAAAACTTCCACACCCAATGAGCGGCTCTCCTGCTGACAACGCGCTGTTCACACTGGCACTTGTCACGGCAAAACTTTTGTCTTTCAGGGACCGGGGGGGGTGGAGGGGTGAACACCTCTGAAAGACAAAAGTTGTGTCGTTCAATTGCCAGTGTAGACATAGGTATGGTCTAGATAATACTATGGCTGACAGGTGTTTGTCTAACCTGCCCTTAAAAATCTCCAATGATGCAGATTCTAAAACCTCTCTGGGCAATTTATTCCCATGCTTAACCACCCTGACAGTTAGGAAGTTTTTCCTAATGTCCAACCTAAACTGCCCTTGCTGCAATTTAAGGCCATTGCTTCTTGTCCTATCCTCAGAGGTTAAGAACAACAATTTTTCTCCCTCCTCCTTGTAACAACCTTGTATGTACTTGAAAATGGTTATGTCCCCCTCAGTCTTCTCTTCTCCAGACTAAACAAACCCAATTTTCTCAAGCTTCCCTCATAGGTCATGTTGTCTAGACCTTTCATCGTTTTTGTTCTTCTTCTCTGGACTTTCTCCAATTTGTCCACATCCTTCCTGAAATGTGGTGCCCAGAACTGGACACAGTAGTCCAGTTGAGACTTAATCAGTGTGAAGTAGATAGGATGACCAGATAGTAAGTGTGAAAAATCGGGACGAGGTGGGGGGTAATTGGCACCTATATATGAAAAAGCCCCAAATATCGGGACTGTCCCTATAAAAATCGGGACATCTGGTCACCCTAGGAGTAGAGCAGAAGAATTACTTCTCGTGTCTTGCTTACAACATTCCTGCTAATATATCCCAGAATGATGTGTTCTTTCTTTGCAACAGTCTTATACTGTTGACTCATATTTAGCTTGTGATCCACTATGACCCCCATATTGTCCATATTTCTCTTGAAGTGGAGGAAGTGAGTGTATTTGGTTAGGAAAGCAAGGGGTACATAGAGGACTAAAGAGTAGCAGTAAGATAACGGCTACACTGCTGTGAAGTCCACAACAAAGAATGAACACTGCATCCTTTTTCTCCTCTGGCTAAGGTGATACACTTTTTTATTACTTACATAGGGCCATACATGGTGTATGGTGTTTTATAACTCAGATAAAAACAGATCTTCTCTACGGAATTTACAGTCTATAGGTCTGATCCTGCAAACACTTACACATGTGAGCAATTTCTCTCACTTAAAGAATTTAATTAATTGAATTTCATGGGCCTAAAGTCAGCATTTCTAGAATCAGGTCCTAAACTAAAATGAGAACAGAATAGAAGACAAGAATACAGGGAGGAAAAGTGCACAAGGAAGAGAATAATATGGTTATCTGTCACTTTGCGAGCTAATGTACAGGTCTTGAAAATGACAACAGATTAATTTATTATTACAATTATACCTATAAAATACACTTTTAAATAGTGTAAGAAGTTATAATTAAGACCTGCTTACAATTAGGGCTTTGTCCTTTATTAAAAGAATTAATACTTTATATGCAGAACCTTTCATCCACAGATCTAAATGCACTTTAAGTACTATATAAGTATTATACAGATGGAGAAACTAAAGTACTGTGAGGCTAAATGACTTGATCAGAGCCAGAGAGCCTGTGGCATTGCCATGAATAGAATTCTGAGCTCCTGATTCACATTTGTCAGCTTTAACCACTAGGTCACACTGCTCCATACACCACACCCTAGGAAAAAAGTGACAGGTTGAAATTACAAGATTCTAATGAAGACTGTAAATACCAATTAAACAGACAAATTTTAAATACCAAAGGCTAATACATCTTCATATAAAGACGATTGATCACCTTGTCTATAATGGGAATTACAGGGATCAAATCACATATTTGTTTGCCAGTTGTACAGTCAGGATTGCTAAAGTAATTGATTTACCATAAACAGTTTATCTATAACCAGATTTACTAAAGTAATCATCA